TATGGGATATGGGATATGGGATATGGGATATGGGATGTAGGATATGGGATATGGGATATGGGATATGGGATATGGGATATGGCATGTGGGATATGGGATGTGGGGTATAGGATATGGGATATGGAATACGGGACACAGGACATGGGATATGGGATATGTGACACTGGACATACACTGGGCATAGGCTACACACCGGGCGCCAACTGTGGGACATGAAAGATGGGACATGGGACACAGTATATGGGACACACACAGGGCACGGGACACGGGACATTGGACAGGGGGCACACCCTGGGCTTACACTGGGCACGGGACACGGGACATCGGGCAGGGGACACACCTTGGGCATACACTGGGCACRGGACATGGGACGTRGGACACAGGACATGGGACATAGAGCGGGCACTAGGCACGCACCGGGCATCGCTGGGCGGGGGCGAGCACTGGCCATACACCGACCCCGAACGGACACTGCGAACGGACACCGGGCAACCACCGGGCACCGCGGCGCCGCCCCAGGGCCACCCCTTGTGCCGGTGCGGCCCGGGGCAGGGCGGGCGCTGTGCCGGTGCTCCCCGCTGTGCGGGTGTCGCACCGTGGCGCTGCTCACGGTCTCCGCTGTGCGCGGCGGGTGGCGGTCCCGGTGCATCCCTCCGCCCTTGCCGCACCGGCAGGCACCGGGCCCTTTAAGAGCGGCGGCAGCGGCGGCGGCCGTGCCCGTGCCCGTGCCCGTGAGCGCGCCCGTGAGCGCGCCCGTGCCCGCTCCCGGCGGTGCCCGCGGCCGCCCCGCACCTGCCGGTAAGGGCTGGGGGCGCGGGGGATGCTCGGGGCCGGGGGGATGCCGGCGGCATGCAGGGATACCCGGCGCCTCGGCGGGGACCGGTGCCGGGAGGATGCGGGGATGCTCGGGGGAATGCAGGGCCCCGGTGCCGCAGGGATGCTCGGGGAGGATGCGGGGATGCTTGGGAGGATGCGGGGATGCTCGCGGAGGATGCAGGTGTGCCCGGGGCCGCAGGGCCGCCGAGCAGAGCCTGGAGGRTGCCGTGGGGCACGGGAATGCCCAAGGGGTGTCCCTGGTGTGGGGCACTGTGGGGTGTTTCAGGTTTGCGGGGTKGGGGTGGTGCAGAGGGATGGGTGGGCTGTGGAAAGGGTCCCCTGTGCCCAGGGGCTGCTCCGTGTGTGCCCTGGTATCCTGGTAGGGCATGGGATGGGACAGGGGCCAGCCCTGCCCACGGATGGGGAACGGCTCCCTCCTGCTGCCATGGGGGGTCTGCAGCCTCTCCACGCAGGAATCCGGCTGTGGGGCTGCGCCAGCGTGGCCTCTGACGAGGSGCAGCTCATCCTGTGTGCTGGCACAGGCTGGGAGCACGGAACGGCCTCAGCCAGGCTGGCCATGGAACGCTCTGGAAGCACGTGAGCGTGTGCACGTGAGTGTGAGTGTGCGCTTGAAGCGTACASGAACAGCATCATCGCTCTTCCCATGGCTGCACTGTCGGGTGTGCCGGGGGAGCGAGGGTTTGGAAGCGGTGGGGAACACCAGAGCGGAGCCGTGGGCAGCCGAAACCCTCACTGTCAGTCCGTGGCACCTGCCACCCTGGGGACACTCGGCTCCATCCTCCCCACGRCCCTGCCATCTCCAGGCTCAGGTCTGGGTTTGCTGCCATCCTCCTCTCCTCGGGGCTCGGGAAGGTAAGCGGGGAGCTGGGCTGGGTTCAGGAGCCCCGCAGCAAAACCCACGCGTGGAGGCGGGGAGGGCACTGAGGGTCCGGCCCCTCCTGGCCCCGCTGCCGGTGAGAGTTGAGTCAGCCCGGCCAGTTGTGAGGAGCCGCGGGCCCTTCCGAGCCTCCCGGGGCCGGTGCCAGTGCGGTCCCCGTCCCCACAGCGCTGGCAGCCGGAGATGTGACGTTAATGAATGTCGCGGGTGCTCGCGGCGAGATGCCGGGTGAGAGGGGCGGCATCAACCCATCAGCTGAGCCCTCGCTGCCAAGGGATCTCCGGGCTGCCCCCGGCTCCTCTTGGTGCTGCCCCTGCTCTGCCCAGCACCCATCCCGCCTGCCCTCGCCCTGGCTGTGCCAGGGAGCTCCAGCCCTGGGAACCCGCTCTATTTAAATAAGATAACGTACATTAAAAACACGGAATCCTGGCCAGCTGACAGCGTCTGTCTAAATATTTATCCCAGTTCCGATCAGGCGCTGTGTTCCCATGACAGTGCCATTAGCGCTTGGCATATTTATGACCTTCCTGGGTGCTGGGCTCCCCGTGCTGCGTGCCCAGGGGCCACTGACCCCCCCTCCCGTGTCCCCTCTGTGCCTTCCTGTGCACCCAGTAGTGMCGCCTGGGCTGGCAGCCATCTCCAGACTGGCACATCCCTGGGAGCTGCCAGGGCTATCCCGGGGTGGGCACGGCAGGGAGTGGGTGCCACATTTGTCCCCAACAGCACAGGAGAGGCGGTGCCACGAAGTCCCGTGTCCATGCAGGAAAGAGAGCGTGGAGAACAGCCTGCTCCCCAAAAAAACAACTCCTGCTCCTCCTGCTGCACACGGGAACCGAGGGACCGGGCACCACGGGCACTGGGCAGTGGGGATGGAGCAGGGATGCTCCAGCTCCCTCCTGTACATCGCTGTCCGGCCCTGTGACATGGCCTTGTTGGGGCCTCGTGCTCTGGGGACAGCACGTCCTGCGGTCCGGGGGTGTCCAGTGGCAGCGTGCGGAGCTGCGGGAGTGTCGGGAGGGATTAGGGCTGTGTCGGGAAAGGGCTCATTCGGAGCCGGAGGCGCGGGGGGCTCAGCGCGGCTCTCCCCGGTGCCACCGCTCCGGCAACACAAACAAAACCCTCGCGATCAGCTGAGCCGCTCGGGCACCCGCAGCTGCCAAAATCTGCTTTTCGCTTCCCAAGTCTGCCGGCGCTGAGTTTAACCCTGAGCTGGGGTGTGTTTGGGTGGCAGCTCACCAGAAGCGCTGGCGGCAGCAGCGCGGGCGCGTTCTGCAGGCGCTGCCCTGTCTCTATCCCTGTCCCTGTCCCTGTCCCTGTCCCTGTCCCTGTCCCTGTCCCTGTCCCTGTCCCTTGTCCCTGCCTCACCGAACACACCGCAGCTGGAGAAACGGGGGAAAGGAACGGCACAAGTGATGCCCGCGGGTGGCTCCCAGGAGGATCCGCGCTGCCTCTCTCATGACCCCTGGGGATGCCAAGGGTCTCCGGGCTGCCATCCTCACCCCGTCAGCGCCCGTGGCTGTGCCGGTGCCACCCCCGGAGCAGCCCAGCGCTGGCATGTGCCTGGGTGACTCCCAATCACCTCTTCTGTACTCGCAGGGCTCCACCGTGCTCACCCCGGGATGCCACCCGATCCAGCYGCCCTGTGACACGGCCCCTGGCTCGGGGGTGACCCGACGGCCGGACGAGATCGCCGGTGGGGACCTGCCCTGAAGCCACCGCCCTGTTTGCTCCGGCACTGGCCTCACCCGCGCAGGCACAGGGAGAGGCGGAGCTGGCCGCTGGCCCCACTCTGGGGCACAGGAGGTAGGAGGGACACGGGGCACTGCTGCGCACATCCCCATGGGGACCAGGCTGGCCGGAGGGGCTGTCCCCATGTCGCCTTTCTCGGGGTCTCGTGCTGCCCTGGTCAGGGGAGCAGGGCACGGTACGTGGGGCTGTGTGRGCTCACCTGTGCTTGGGCTCCCTCCGAAAGCTGGCTGTGGGTTGCTGGACGCCCGTGTGTGTCCCCAGAGATCCCAGAGATGGCCTTCCAGCGGAGCCACCGGCTGAACCTGCTGCGCCTCGTTGTGCTGCTCCTCGTCGCCTTGGCYGGCATCAAGTTCCTCTTCCGTGACAGGTGAGGTGACAGCAGGACCCCAGGGGGGTCGGGGTCTGTGGGAGCCCCCGGGCTGTGCCAGCGTGTCCTTCCGGTGCTGGGGGACAGTTGGTGCCCCCATAACCCCGTGGACACCCCCATTCCCACTCCACTCCATGCAGCTTTACCCTGGAGCTGCAYAAGCACGTCAACAAGGACAGCGGGTTCTGGGGGGACACTGGTGACATCGTCCAGGACATCATCCCCCAGAGCCAGGTTCTGGAGGTCCCTGCGGCAAAGATAACAGCCCTGAAGCAAAAGCAGCAGGTCCCCAGGGATGTCAGTGCCACCGAGATGAGGCTGGTCCACCTGGACCTCAAGGGAGCTGCGCCCMGAGTTTCCTACCTGGAACAGGTGAGGATGCCCAGGGACAGGGAGAAGGGACCAAGGAGGGATGTGCTGACAGGGCTTGGCCTGCCTGCTGTCCCTGCTGGGGACACCTGGACTGTGCCATCCCCACTGCTGAGCCCACCCTGCCCACCCTGCAGGTGTTCCCCCTCCTGTCCCAGCTGGGAGCCAACGGTGTCCTCATCGAGTACGAGGACATGTTCCCCTTCAAGGGRGAGCTGGAAATCCTCAGGTCCCCGTACGCTTACAGGTGAGCAGGGCTGACGCAGGGCTGTGCCCAGCTGGCTGTGGGGCTGGTGGCCCCAGCAAGTGCCAGTGTGCCAGGGGCTGGGTGTGACCCACCTGGCCCTGTGTCCATGATAATCACGGTCAGAGTGCCAGGCTGTGCTGCTGGGCAGAYCAGATTCCTGGCCTGACAGGTCAATATTTGTGCCCCTCATTAATGTGCACACATGGGTAGCTGGGGCCATGTGGGCAGGGTGCCAGAGGAGGAGAAGGAGGGGGAAGTGCCCCCACGCTCTGCCCTCCACTCTCACATCCCCCACTGAGCCTGTCCCCCTTCCCCAGTGAGGAGGACATCGAGCGGATCCAGCAGCTGGCAGAACAACACAAGCTGGAGGTGGTTCCCCTGGTGCAGACCTTCGGCCATGTGGAGGTAGAGAGTCCCAGTCCTGCTCCCCATCCCAAATCACAGAGATTCCCCCAAATCACACATGTCCCCCCTGATGGCTCCTCCCCACAGTTCATCCTCAAGCATGAGAAGTACCAGCACCTGCGGGAGGTCGAGCGCTTTCCCAACAGCTTCAACCCCCACATCCCCGACACCCTGGCCCTGCTCAAGAGCATCCTGTCCCAGGTGATCGAGAAGCACCGGCGCTCCACCTGGATCCACATCGGCGCCGATGAGGTGGGCAGGGGCTGTGCAGGAACCCCAGCCCTCACCCCAGGGGTGCTCCCAGGGCTGCTGAGCATCTCCCTTCCCCCAAGTCCAGGTTTTCCATCTCGGGGAGGGGATGGACTCCAAGAACTGGATGAGCCACAACAAGGGCGACGTGGGGACCATGTTCCTGAAGCACATCAAGGAGGTTCTGGGCTTCCTCACGGCGCAGTACTGGGGGCTGCGGGTGCTCATGTGGGATGACATGCTGAGGAAGATCAGCGTGGGAGCCCTGCGGGGTGAGGGGACAGRGATGGCAGTGGTGGCACCTGGGCCGGGCTCCTCAGCAGCACCTGCTCTTGTCCACCCTGGCAGGTGTTGTGCCAGCAGGAGCCCATTCCTTACCCTGTCCAACGTGGRTTTTGGGGCAGCATGAGGAGCCCAGGGCTCCCTGCTGCTGTGGTACCAATGTCCCCTCGCTGCTCTCCCTGCAGAGTCCGGGATAGCGAAGCACGTCTCTCCAGTGGTGTGGTTCTACGCAGCCGACTTCGAGGCTGAGCAGATCGGTAAGGTGACGTGCCAGGCTCCTGGGGATGGTGGGGGGATCCCCCCCAAGCCCCCTGCAGCCTCTTGGGGACGGTGGCACTGGTGGCTCGCGCCTGTCCCGCTGCAGTGCCGTTCCTCACCAAGTACGTGGAGAGCGGCTTCGAGGCGGTTTGGTTCGCCAGCGCCTTCAAGGGCACCACGGGGCCAGCRCAGGCCTGGACCCCGCTGAGCTACCACCTGAAAAACCACCTGAGCTGGCTGAAGGTGATGCAGGCTGTGCCACGGCTGGCCCCGCTGCGCTTGCAGGGCATCGTGCTCACCGGCTGGCAGAGGTGAGGGCTGGTGGGAGCCCCCTGCCCGCCCGGTGCTCGCAGAGCTGTGCTGGCACAGTGCACAAGTGACAACTGTCCCCACCCCACAGGTACGATCACTACTCGGTGCTCTGTGAGCTGCTGCCCGTGAGCATCCCCTCGCTGGCCATCTGCCTGCAGACCCTGGTGAACGGTGAGACCCCCGGCCAGGCTTGTCCTGTCCTGCTGGGCAGGGTGCTGGGGGGAGGTGGGAGGCAGAGGAGGAACAGCTTCAGCTCCCCCAGTTCTGATGGGGAGGTGGCCCAAGCTCTTCTGTCCCTTCCCAGGGGGCTTCACAGAAGAGGCAAAGAGGAAGGTCCTGGATGTGCTGGGCTTGGAGAGCGTGCAGCTGGAGCAGAGYACCTGGTGCGTGGCACATGCTTGTGGCATTTGCACTGGAGGGAAGCAGGGGCTTGGTCACCCAAATGTCCTGGTCCCAGGGTGCTGGGCTTCACCCAGCCCAGTGCACCACGCGTGCTGGGCCCTCACCTTCCCCTCCCTTTCCCCAGCGAGGGCAGGGGAGCTTTCCCTGGTGTGGAGATCTACCACATGGTGGAGCAGGTTAATGGCCACCTGAAGGAGAGCATCCTTAAGACACTGGAGGAGGAGAGGTAACAGGCGGCAAGAGGCAGTGGGATCAGTGGCTCTGGCTAAATTTTTCCATGGGAGGCACCTCCCTGATGTGCAKCTCCCCACCCCTGTTGGCCCCTGAGCCCCCAACTCCTTTGTGCCTCTCCAGTGCCATCAAGGGCTGGTTCAGCCCCTACCACCGGAAGCGCCAGTTTGGGAATCCCCGCAACATGGAGAGCTTTGGCAGCAAGATCCTGAAGTACGTGATGGCTGGGAAGGGTCTGCACGGGGCTGGGAGGGGTCTGCACGGGGCTGGGAGGGGTCCCAGGCATGGCCCTGGGGTCCCTCACAGGAGGGACCTGGACCCCCGCCCTGTTTTCTCCAGGCTCCATGAGGACTGGGAGAGCTTTGTCCGTGACCTGCGTGCCCAGCTGGAGAGGGTCTACTTCCCTGACACGGTGGAGGAGTGGATGGAGGAGAACATCAACCCCTACCTGGACCAGCTGCGGGACCTGGTGCGGGACTACCGGGCCATCATCCGCCTCAATGGCCGGCCCAAGGCCGCCTAGGGGCCACAGCCCCCCCGGCTGCTGCTGTCCCCCTGGCTGGGCTTCGGGGGCCACCGTCGCGTGTCTGTTTGCTGGTGACAGCGCTGCTGCCGCTGTCTGCACTGTACAGAGCCCCTGCACACCCCCTCCACAATAAAGTATTTTCGTAGACGCTGCTGGGTGCTGGGGGGGGCCACGGCTCTGCCCCACTGTGCAGGGAGAGGGAGCTCGGGCTGGCGTGGAGGGCTGGAGTCTGTCCTGTGACACTTCCAGGGCCCCTGCTCGGGCTGTGATGGAGCTGCAGCCACAGGGCAGAGTGTGACAGAGCTGCTGGGGACACCTGTGTGCCTCGTGCTGGCCTCGAGGGTGGCCGTGCCCTCCCTGGATGGGATCCAGCTTGGTGCAGGGACCCTGTCGGGCTCCCACCAGCACCCTCTCCCCATCCCGTGTCTGCTTCCAGTCTCYGTGAATCCCTGGTTGCTGGTAGGGGTGTGAGCATAGTGATGTCTTCTTCAGCCTCCAAACTCTGCCTTCAACTCTTCCTTCCCCTGTTACTCCAGCAGCCAGGCCCCGTGTGCTCCCAGACCCCTCCTGAGCCCARGCAGAGGCCTCTGCTGAGCTCTTTTCCCATCGGAAAGACAGCTGTGTCTGRTGGATGCGTGGGGATCTCTGCGTGGGATGAGCCCTCCTGCTGCTGGTGGTGCCTCCAGTTCCCACAGCCGGCTTTCCACGTGCCTGYTTCCCACTGTGCCCACCCTAAACCCTCCGTGCCCGAGGCTCTGCCCGTTCCGGGCGCTGGTTTCGCTCGGCGTGCGCAGGGCAGGAACGGGGACATTTCACTGCACATTCTTCTGCTCTGCAAAGACCAACCCGACTTGGCAAGAGCCCGAGGGAGCCGCAGGAACGCCGGGCTGGAGCTCCTTTTGCAAATCCTGGCTCGGGCAGGGAGGAGGGACAGCGTTGTGCACCCCACCGGCCCCACAGAGTGACCCTGCTGCTGCTCAGTGTCGTGCCCTGGTCACAGAGGTCCCAGTGCCCGGCCCGGCCATCGGRCAGGAGCTACCCCTGTCCCCTGTCTGTGCTGGGTGACTGGGTGTGGGGGCCCAGCAGGAGGGAGCCGTGGGGCACAAAGGAACCTTKGTTGAGGAGATTCGTTCGTTATCAGGTGGTGGCAGATGTGAGGGAAGCCCCTGACCCTCCTGGGCCCCCGGGCTCGTGCGGAGCCCCAGCCCCAGCCCCAGCCCCCAGCCCCGCAGCCCGGCCCCCTCTCAGCCGCCCGGCTGCGGGATTAGAGGGCAGATTAGACGGCGTTTCGTGCTGGCAACCCAAATGTCCTGGATTGGAAAGTGGGGGTGGGGAGAGGAGACGGACCCCGCCATCYCTGAGGGGGGGTCAGCCCGGAGATGGGAACTGGGAGGGAGCTGGGCTCTGTGCGAGGGACCCTTGGGCTCCAGCTCGGGGGGCACGGGCTGGCACGGGGCAGGCAGGGGGCATCAGGGGATGGCTTGGTTCCCTCCTCTGCCTTTCCGTCTGTCCCGGGCTCTCACATGGGGCTGCAGATGCTGGTCCTCATGCACGGCACCCACCTGTGACTGCACCCCTCAGTGCCCAGCGCTGTGGTGGTCAATTGGCTACCAGCCTTCTGGCCCCGTGTGCCCCAACGCCGGTTCGCTGGAGTCGAGACTCCACGAGGCCTTTATTTGTCCAGGAGGGCAGAAATTGGGGCTGATTTCGTGCGAGTGACGTCCGTGCTCTGCCCTGATGGCACCGTGGGGACTTTAACGTCCATCACTGGCCCCATTTCCCACCGGGGTCCTGAGCGTCCTCATCCCTCGGCACAGCCGGGAGCCCTCCGYAACTGTAACGTCTCGGTCATTTCAGCCTTAAGAGTGAAAGGGACGAATGTCACCGGCCATTGTGTCAACAGAAGTGGAAAATGACGCGGTAATGAGCGCTTTATTTACAGAAATTGAAAGGCTGCTCCTGCCCGATTCCCGTTATCGTCGCCGCAGGCTGCTGCGATGGCCAGGCGGGACGGGGACCGGCAAAGGGCACGCCGGAGCGGGGCTGGGGAGCACGGGGTGCCCGGTGAGGGGGTCCGCTGGACCCTCCCGGGATCCTCCCCGAGGAGGAAGAGGCCCCGAGCAGCCGCGTTGCCCCCGTCCCCTCCGGCCGCTGAGACCCGCCAGATCGCTACACGCCACGGCTGCGCGGCGGCGGCGGCTCCCACCGGGGCGTCCCCCGGGCCCGGCACCGGGGAGGGGGATCCCCGCGCTCCGCCCGCAGCACCGGGCGGCCCCCGCCCTCTCCTCCTCCTCCTCCTTCTCGTCGTCCTCCTCCTCCTCTTCCTCC